CCAAGGGACAGGACACTTTCATCACCAGCAGGATCCCTCATGATCCTCTTTTCTAGCCATCCCACTTCCTTCCAGCCTCCCCAGCCTGTCCTGAACCCCCTGGCAACCACGAACCCTTCCCATCTCTATAATTTTTACCCTTCCAAGAATGTCTTATCAGTGGAATCATACAGCGTGTAAGGCTTTTGAGTATTTAAAAAGCTAGTGTCATTCTCTATTTTCTTCAAAGATGTTTATCATGTAAGCATCAAGATCTTCATCTGGAATTGGTTTCTGTGAAAAGTGTAAGATATAGAGCTACTTTTATTGAAAAGTCCAACAACTATTTACTGAAGTGAATTCTTTTCTCACTGATTTCAAATCTGTTTTATGTGGTAAATTCCTTAATTGCTGTATTTACTATCCCTAATAAATAATATATTGCTTTGAAAAAAAAAAGCTATTATCCATCACTTGAATAATGAAAAATAAACGTTGAAATGTTGTTATTTATAATGGACTTTACAACCTTTCTGCTTAGTGTTTTGTGTCTGCGTGTATGGGGATTGGCTAGAAATATTGCACTGTCCAATAGAAATATGATGTGAGCCACATCAGTGGTTTTAAATTTTCTAGTATCCATGTGACCAGAGAGCAGGCCCTTCTCGGGGTGGTGCCTGGGCTTGGTTCCTACACTGGGGCTCGAACCTGGAGGTGTCCAGGCTTGGCTCTTACACCAAGGGTCAAACCCAGTGGATTCTGGGCTAGATTTCCATACCAGGGGTCGAACCCCGGCCTTGGAGAGGAAACCTGCGAATCCTAACCATTATGTTGCTGGGGCTAGGCCCTTCTCAGAGCAATGTCCAAGTTCTTGGCATCTTGAGCAAAGAATTGAATGAAACACAGAGGTAAAGTGGTGAAAGAGAAGTTTATTAGAAGTGAAAGTACACTCCAAAGAGATAGGAGTGGGCCCAAGCACAAAGAAGTGTCTCAAAAGGCTCAAAGGGCTCAAGGACTCATTATTAGAAGAAAAAACACATAAACTCCAAAGGGTTTGGAGCAGGTCCCCGAGCAAGGCTCAAAAGGCGCTGACTGGTGAGGACTTGGAGTTTTTATTTCCTTCTCTTCTAGAATGGGTTACTCCTCCTTAATTGTGGGACTGCTTGATTGATACCTGTGATTGATAATGGCTAATGGTTATGGTAAACAAAGGCAAGTTTGGGTGGAGAGGGATCTTTTGGGCAGTCATATCCTGTAGACTGTTGGACGAGCAGGAATGTTACCTGACGTAGCCAAGCATCTCAGAGACCCAATTCCTGTCTCTAACTGCTTGCCTTATGTCCCCCTTGAGAGACGTGATCCCCATAAATCTCTATGGGAAGTTGAGGGACAGGAGATCTCCTGTTTTGAATGTGCTTCCTGCTGAATGTGGCCGTTGTCCCTACTTATCGGGGATTCACGGGACTCGGGCCCTATCTGATCTTAGATGAGGGAAAGGGGTCTCGAGATCCGCCTGGAGGACTATGTTGACCTCTGTGGTTGGGATGCGCTGGTAGTCTTGTTGGGATATCACTTGTGTCCCCACGACCCCTAGATGAGGAGAGATAGGTTTTAGCTAACAGAGTTAAAAGTGTTGGCCCAAGAAGCAGGACTCAAAACCATTGACACAGGGTGACTGCGTGATGAAACATTGTTCAGCTTCGTGGAGCCTGGCCTTTCTTCTGGTTTAACTGGTCATTCAGTTATTGTTCACCCAGGAACTGGGCCTGGAAAGAACGCAGTGCTACAATGACCATAGTCAACAGACATTAATCACAAGCTTTAGGGTAATTATCTGAAACAAGGGGTAGGATATTTCTATGATTCAGGTTAAAAACAATCTATTATTTATGTTTAAGAAACTGATTTGAAAAGTGATTATAATCAGGGGCTACAGAGGGGCTACACTAGGGAAAAGAAAATTTAGAGTTTCTATAGTGAGAAGCCCTTTCGTTTGGCTGGTATCAGCCACATTAAAAAATTAAAAAGAAACATGAAATAATAGTAATATATTTAATAATGTAAAATAATTATGTTGTATTAACAATGACATGAATGCTATTAATTATATGAATATGATGTATTACATGATTATATGTTATATGATTATGTATTATCTGAATCATATATTATATAATAATTTATAATATAGAAATATACAACTATATTATATAATGTAGAAAATATAGAACACATGTTAATACTATATTCATGTATATATGTATTAATATAGTATAGTAATATTAATGCTATTAACATGATATATTTATATTACATTGCTA